ATAAAGTTCAAGCTCCAAGGAAGAGCTTGTATTGGGGTGTGGGGATTTGTCTATGCGTTTGGCAATGATGTGTGCTCACCAGTGCATTCAACACAACAGTAACCGGCAAGCCAAGGGCATGATTCACATCCCGGGAACTTTAACTGCGGGCAACAGCACCCAACGATGTCAACAAAAGCCTTTCTCCCCTGTGTTATTAAACTTATTAAATTTACCCTCTAGTGAAAGTATCACAGGCAGACATTTAAATAGGGTTCCAAAGAACAATGGGCCAGATTAGAGTATAAAGATGAAATGATCTATCTCAGCCTATTGCTTTCAACTGCTCAGTGAAAACACACAAGCTTGAGGAGACAGGTGAGGTGCTTAGTAAACTTGCTTCATGTGCGGCCTTGTTAAACATTTGTTAACTATAAACATTTTACAAGTCTGTATGGTAGACTTCCCTCACACATATTCAGACATACCAGCGACTGGTCTTGGACTCTGCACCTCAAGGTCCAACTATTTGAAACACTCAAGGCTCAGAAGGTTAAGGTGCTTTAACCACGGGACTGGGGCCAAGACTGAGAACTGAAGACGAGGAAGGTCCTACGGCAGCATTTAGTGTTGAATTAGGAAAGGCAACTCTCTAAATCTAGAACACTGAAAGTCTGAGCAGTTAAAAGGACTGGTGTAATTGAGTTAAATGAATACATCTGTCTTTTAGAATAGTACCATTAATGTTACAAACCACCTGGTAATAATAAATAATTAGAAGCAGAACACCTATGCCTGCATTTAGCCTCTTCCGCATTCGGGCGCCAATGAGATAGTAACAGTTCAATGGTAGCATCACCTTTTATGGGAGAGACCAGGGTTCAATCCCCCGCCCCGCCCTGCCACTGCCCTTTAAGTACAGCTATCACCTCTCTGTGCCAGTGAAGGCTTGTGTGCTGCTATGATGCAAAACAGGTTCCAGGCGAACTTCCAAACTAAGACAGACTAGGAAGAAAGCCCTGATAATCTCCTTAAAAATCAGCCACAGATCACAAGAGTTCCTCCCAGCATGCACAGGGTCACCCACCATGCGGCTGACAGCCCACTCCAATGTAGCTAACACACAGCAACATATAGCAAGATTTGAAGTTCTCCAGGGTGGACAAAAGTCTATGTTTCTCTTAATAAAGCTACACTGTAACTCTTTCCAAAATAAGTGTCCACAAGCCTTCAGGTTATTTAACAAGTTGCAATCTCAGAATGTTAGAGATATGCCAGGAAGCGAAATTGAGAAGGCAGGACAAACAGCAATGGTGATGGAGCAGCCAGAGCACAACCAATGAACGGATCAGCCTATTACTGAAAGCTGAATTACCAGACACAAGTCAGGGACATGAGGAAAAACGAAAAGGGGAAAATGCTCTTGTGTAACTAGAACTAGAAAATGCCAAGTCTCCACAATGTGAAGTGGGGAAAGGAAGGGAGCAGCATAATATCCACAAGGTTATTTTAAAGCGTGCTTTTTAAGGTTTCCCTTAAAATGAAAGCTGTGGTCAAATGTGCCCTGCAGACTTTTTTGTTTAGGCTCTTCACTGGTTTGCACACTTTTGTTTTCAAGTGTTTAGAAAACCCATGCGGGACCTTCACACTCCTCAAAAGCAAGGCGCTCAGTTAACCTCTCAATGGTAACCTCAGGTTCCCTGGGGGCTGATTTTGATTGGGAGCCAACATACAGGCAGGCAGGTACCATGCGCCTACATCTGCCTGCTCTCTCCTCTGACCCTCATAGTCTGCTCGCAGTGACAGTGAAAGTTTTCCTAAGCAATTGCTTGGGGTCTGGTTCCCTTTTTATCAGTTGTTTGTGTTAGCTTATTTCATCATTACATAAACCCAAAAGCTATGATGATCCTAGGAAGAGAAAACTGAGGCACAAAGGAAGTGAAACAATTTGCCCAAGGTTACACAATTTAAAAGTATCCAGGGCAAGCTTCAAAATCTAGTAATACGGTTTTCAAATCTACATTCTAAGCCTTGAAGATATACTGAAAAGTCCCAGAATTTAAACTTTGTTTTGTCCCCACTGCCATTGAGTCCATTCCAACTCACAGTGACCCTGTGGCACAGTGGGTTATGTGTTGGGCCGCTAATCACAAGGTCAGCAGTTTGAAACCACCAGCCACTCCTCGGGAAAGATGAGGCTTTCTGTTTCTGGAAAGATTGACAGTCTTAGAAACCCAAAGGGACCATTCTACTTTGTCCTAGAGGGTCACTATGAGAATTAAAGCTATTATTATTTATTATAGCCTCATTTCCCACCTCGCAGCTCTTAAAAAGAAACTTCATCAACTTCTTAAAAAAAAAAACAAGGGGTGGGGTGGGGAAGGATGATTACAATATGTAAGTCAAACTACCAACAAGTTAACTATCTTATAATTCACAAGTATTGTGTCATTTATAAATATAAAATGTCTGCAGGGCTCATGTCCATCCGAACAGTCAGACATAGGTGCTTCAGAATATACATGGCCTCCAAAGAACAGAATGTTCTCATTTTCTCTCTGGAAATAGCCCAGAAGGAATTACCTGCAGCAATGGTTTCCAAGGATCTCTTTATCTTTTGGCAAACTCCGGGCATCTGAAGGAGCTGAAGAGTTTTTTCCTTTGACCTAGGAATTCTATGTGGACACCAGATAGGTCATGAGCCACTTATTCATTCTTTATAAAACAGACCGCACAAGGAAATCACCAGGAAGTAGGAATGCTCCAACACAGTTTTGCTTTGATTCCTCTAGCAAGATGAAATATAATTCAGACCTACATGTTGACAGGTCACAAAATGACAAGACAACAGAACATGGCTCTTTCTGGAAAAGCTCAGATTGGCTTAATAGCATAGAAATATACTTAGCATCACAGAAATGGAAGGTTTGGTAGGTGATTGGTACTTAAGTTCCCAAATGACTCGTGTGATATTCATTTACAGGTGATGTGGCCAAGTAGGTAGATGCTAGGAAAATCCATTTAAAAATATTTTTTAACTTTTAGGATGGGAGAAAAAGTTTGATTTCATGAGTCCATTAAACAAAGTATGAGACAACTTTGAAAATGTTAAATTACATGAAATGCATGTGGATGGAAATAACATAAAAGAGCTGAGGGCTCGGAGGAGTAAGGAATGAAAACGAGCAGACCAATGGGGCATGCCCCTGCATCTCAGGGTCAGGAACTGGTTTGGGAAGATAAGACCCACTCAGGGAGAACAGTGAGCCTCCTACAGGATCAGAAGAAAGATGATCCAACCACCTTTCATCGCCCTGGAAACTGACTGCCCATCCTGTCTCTCCAATCCCATCCCTTTGTAGCAGGAGTGGGAAAAGAGCTGGAATTAACTAGAAAACCAGTTAGCGTATTGTAAATAAATGCTAGTTCCACCCTTCCTTTTCCATGTTCAGAAGCCAAGGCAGTAAAATATGAGAGGCCTTCAAGCAGGTTATGGAAAAATCCCATTATCTTTCAAGTCCATTTTTTCCCCCATGACCTTTTTAAAGTCCCCTCCTAATGTGTCTAAGACCCACACCTCTGAGCGACACAGCTGAGAACAGACTGTCCCTGCACAATAAAATGTTTTCTCTGGTACATATCTAGTTAGCCACCCTTCCAGTGATTGAGTTGCGGGTGGCTGATTCCTTCGTACAGTGTCCCAGGATGTTTACATTGCAAGGGGCATGTGGGGCTCAAGAACCAGAGAGGAAACCTGAGATTTTCACAGCAGAAATGTTCCAGGGACCTCTCTCCACTTTAAATAAAGTCCCTCAGAAGGCTGGCTTTCTAACCAAAAGGTACACATAAAGTGGACCCCCAACATCTCTTGGCTACTGAATCAACTCAAGGGAAAAACATTGATTTGGTTTTCCCCTGGGTAAAAAGAAACACTTTCATCTTCAGCCAATGGCTCCTTTTCAAAGAGTTTATAAATACGAAAGACTACCCACGGTAAACCTTGTAGCAGGAAAAACACAAAGTATCTACATGAATAATGGCCTCTCTTCCTCTCAGATTAGGGCATGAGACTTCTCTAACCTGTGACTGACTACGTGCATTCAGCCTCCTTGGAATAAAGAGGACCTTTGTGAAACAGCCCCAAGCCAGAGATCAACTATTCTCAGGACAATTGTCTTTCTTTTGTTGTATACACACACCACTTTGTATGCCTAGTATCAGTGATGACCGCTGCACACATTAATTCCAGTTTGAATTCCAGTTAACTCCTGTCTAGAGTAAAACCAAACCAACTTCCTCTGCCCCCTTTCTAAGCATGCATTCTCTCCTGATCTTACAACTCTGGTCAACACAAAGCAAAGCTCGGCTCTCCCAGGCAGGTAGATTCCAGAGCAACCAGAAGACACTTTGGACGGCTAATCTGATTGGCTACTTTCAGGTAAACATATTGCAAACTTCAGTTCTGAATCTTCTAGTGGTAGGTAGATTTGGGTGTAGGGGTTTTTTTTCTCCTCTTTTTTAAAGCAGTGCCCTTTTCTGCAGAATTGTAACACGTCTTCCTCAACCCATTCACCCTGATGCAGTTATAAATGCATGCAAGTAGAATCTGAACACTTCTCCCCAAACCGGTATCCTACCCTGGATATCAGTTCTCTATTGGGGGCAAGTCTGCTGGGACAGCTCAGATCCCAGCCCGGACACAGGGTGGGGATTATCAGAAAGCAAATTGCTGCAGCGGGTGGGGACGGAAGCAGCTGTCGCGGAAGGGGATGGGGGAGATGCCGAAGTGCTGGAGAACACCTGGACCCAGGTAGGAAGCCCGGAGGGTGAACATTCCTTACGGTCCCTCCCCAGCAACCTACTTGTCCCCTCAGGAGCCGCGAGAGTCACAAAGCCACTCAAGACTTAATAGGACGCCAGAGGGTCCGGGGCTAGCCGGCCTGGGTCCGAACCCGCTTTCCGAAGCCCCACCCGCGCACAGACCCCGGCCTGGCCGCCCCAGAGGGGAAGGGCGCACTCACGTATCTGTTGATTAGCGTCCGGAGGAGGCTGCAGTCCATGGCTC